GGGTCTTTTGTTTCTGGTCTTTGTAGCATGTCTTCTTTTAACAACCCTGTGTGATTTGTCAGAAGCCTTGGTGGGGTAGTGCTTACGCCGTGGGCTCCTAACTCCTGAGAGACAGACGACGCTTTCTACTTCCATAAAGAGTGAACAGTCTCGGAAACCCCAGGGGCAGTTCTACCCCGTCCTGTAGGGTCGTGATGAGCAGCAGTGAGTTCAGTTTTGTTTCGGTTTGTTGTCTGTTAAGGGGTTGGAAGGTGGGTTGCTAACTACACAAGAGGCAGCTGCTCAGAGATAAAGAGGAGGCTTTCTGCTCCCATAAAGACTGACAGTCACAGCCCCCCCCACCCCCCTGGAGCCATTTCCCTTGGTGCCAATGGGGTCTCTGTGGGTCCGAAAGGCCACGATGGAGGGAGTTTGCGGTGGTTCGTTTGCTTTTGTCGTTACGCAGGGCCTTGGTGGCATAATGGGTTCTGAGCTAGACTACCAGCTGCTCCTCCCTTACGTACCGAAAATCTCTCGGAAACCCAAAGGCGGCAATGCTACACTGTCCTGGAGGAGCCATGGGCGTCAAAATCAAGTTGATGGCGGTGTGGCGGTTGTCGTTAGCTGCTATTAAGTCAGCCAGATTCATGGTGTCTCTAAGCACAACGAAACCAAATGCTGCCGTAAGTCAGTTTGTTTTTTTTTGTGTGTGTGTGTGTGTGTGATCTTCAGAAGGAATGTGTCAGGCCTTTCTTCCTAGTCTATCTGGGAACTCCATGGAAACCTGTTCACCCTCATAGCAACACACAAGCCCCCGCTGGTTGCCGTGTATGAAGAGTCACAGGCCAGAAATCACACTGGGTCACCTGCAGGGAATGTAAGAATTCTGGGCAGATCACCACGGTCCCCAATGGGTACACACCGGGCTGCTAACCGCAAGGTTGGCAGTTCAAATCCATCTGTCACTCTGTGGGAGGGAGTCGAGGCTGTAGTGCTCCTATAAAGATTGGCAGCCTCGGACACCCTAGGGTCACTAGGGGTTGGAAACTACTCAATAGCAGGGGATTTAGTTCTGGGTCACCAGGGGTGAGCGGGTGAATGGGTCTATAAATTTGACAAAACATGTCAAACTTTTTTTTTTTTTTAATATGGACTCTTTTAAATGAAAATCTAACATACCAAGAAAATAATACTAATAGCAACTCCTTGGGCAGAAGAGGCTTCTGGAGTATGGGAAAATCCGTGCCCTCCCCCCAGCCCCACATCTAAGTGCTGGTTATATGAGTGTAATTATTATGTTTGCCTTAAGAAAGTGACGAACCTTTCCTTGTACATTTAGGATCTGTGCCTTTTTACAAAGGCATTTTATGTTATGGGAAAGTTTAACATCCCCCTCTATTGGCTAGGAGTCTCTGGTGGCACCAATGGTTAAACGCTGGACCAATAATAAGCAAAAAGTTAGATCCCAGGGCCCCACTACAGGCTGAGATGGACTCCCTGGGGAAGGGGATGGGGAAGGAAATCTGCATTTTTAAACAAACACCACTACTTCTCTTCCAGCCCCCACCCCCACCCCTTAGTCAGATCTATTGTTTTCATTTTAGTATCTTTTTTCCATGCTTTCTGTGCCAAGGGTGAGTCAGGTAGCATGGCAGGACCCATTGCTGGCATCTGCCGAGGCCAGAAGCCATTTCCTGGTTTCCCTCAGAGCTGCTATGCTTCTTCTGATATGATCTGCAACGAGATGGGGGCTTCCTGCCCTACCTAGCCCAGGATCACCAATCCCAGAGGCCTCCCGAGTATACAGAGCTTGCCAGTTACCAGTGACTTGGACTGTCACACAAAGACCTAAAGTCTCAGGTCATCTGACTCACCCAGGACCATAGCTGCTAAGGGTCAGAACAAGAAGATATCACTGCCCTCAAGTCACGCTGATTGACAGGAAGGGGCTGGGGTGTGAGCGAAAGATCCCGTGAGTCATTCTGGCACATAGTTCCCATAGGAAAAGGCCCCAGTCCCTGGCAGGGACGCTGACCAAAAAATCTGAGCTGCCTGGGTTTTACCCCTGGAAACAAAGAATTGTTACTCTTCCTGTAGGCAGTAGGGGCCTGAGGTAATCTGCCAAAATGGTTCACTGCTCCCTTGGCCCAGAAAACCCCACAAAATCATGCAAATCAAGAGGGTTGACTTTTCGGGTCCATTTTAAGAACACCGGGGATAGGCACTAT